TATGAGATTCCTTGAAGACTGAAATTGCCAGAAGCATACAATTCAAGCTCTCGAGAATGATACTTAATTAAGTTAAACAAATCCCTATATGGATTAAAGCAATTAGGGCGAATGTGGTATAACAGGCTTAGTGAGTATCTATCGAGGGAAGGGTATAAAAATGATGTAATATGCCCATGCATTTTTATGAAAAGATCAAGAAATGAGTTTGTTACAATCGCTGTATATGTTGATGATATAAATATTATTAGAACTCCTGAAGAGCTTGAAAAGGCAGTGAATTGCCTAAAGAAAGAATTTGAAATGAAGGATCCAAGAAGAACAAAATTTTGCCTCGGATTACAAATTGAGTATTTGAAAAATGAAATTTGTATATATTAAGAAACTTATACAAAAAAGATCCTACAATGTTTTTAAATGGATAAATCACATTCATTATGTACTCCAATGGTTGTAAGATCTTTAGAAGTGAATAAGGACCCTTTTAGACCTCGAGCAATAGGGAAAAAAGATGGTGAAGAGTTACTTGGTCCAGAAGTACCATATCTTAGCGTAATTGGAGCACTAATGTATCTTGCTAATTGTACATGACCTGATATATCATTTGCAGTTAACTTACTAGCAAGATATAGTTCTTCAACACGAAGGCATTGGAATGGAGTTAAACACATCCTTCATTATCTTAAGGGTGGAATAGAGTTAAACACATCCTTCATTATCTTTAGGGTACAATGGATATGGGATTATTTTATTTGAATGCACCCAAGAACAATCTTATTGGTTATGCAGATGTTGGATTTTGGTCTGACTCGCATGTTAGTAAATCACAAACAAGTTATCTATTCACATGTGGTGGTACAGCAATTTCATGGAGATTTATGAAACAAACTATATCAGCCATATCATCTAACTATGGAAAGATTCTAGCAATGCATAAAACAAGTCGGGAATGTGTATGGTTAAGGTTTTTAATACATTACACACGAACTACTTGTGGCTTGTTTTCTAGTAAAATGATCCCAACAATACTATACGAAGACAATATTGCCTGTATTACCCAATTAAAGGAAGGGCACATTAAAAGAGATAGAACAAAGCATATCTCATCAAAATTCTTCTTTACTTGTGACCACCAAAAGGATGGCAAAATTAATATCTAACAAATTCATTCCAGTGAAAATTTAGCAAATCTACTCACTAAGTCACTTCCAGCCACCACGTTTGAGAGGCTAGTTCATGACATTGGACCTTCGCGAACTCAGGGATATCAACTGACGTTGTCAAGAGGGGGAGTAAATGCATGATATATTCTTTTTTCCTTGCCTATGGTTTTTTCTATTGGGTTTTTTAAGCAAGGTTTTTAACGAGGTAGAACTATGAAATATATTAATAATGTTATACTCTTTTTCTTCTACTAGGTTTTTGTCCCATAAGATTTTTCTTAGTAAAAGTTTTTTAATGAGGCACATATTTAGTTATGGATATTTAAGGGGGAGTGTTATGAATATAATATCTTTATGGATATCCATATATCTACCATTATTTTCTTTATCTCCCAGTATCTTTAATATCTCCTATTATCCCCATTATCTACAATTATCTTTTATTATTATGTTATCTGTAGATTCCATCAAAGATGTAAAACTGTGCCTATAAATAGAGGTTATGTATAATATATTGAGAACCCTTGAATGAAATATGAAATATTTTTTCTTATTGATCTTCTTTTCTTCTCTATTCTTCTTCTTTATTTATAACATAAATTTTCTTTTTCACAGATTTTTGCTTAAATTAATAATCTAATTTAAAATAAATGACACATCTATATGTATTATTTTTTATTATTATATGTAGAGCCACAGAGCTAAGTTGTAAATGTTCAAACTTTGATTTTATTTTATTTTTTTAATTGTTGGCGTCTCTACGCAGAGCTTGTTCCCTCAAAACAAATAAATAATAAAAAAAGAACCCAAGCCATTGCCCACAGGGGCAGATTAGTCCTACAATCATATGCTAGTTTCCTTAACTGACATAATCGCAGCAACATGGCCAACAAAAAAATTTGCAAGCAAGCAATTGTTGCAAACTTTATAAAACTAGGATGCTTGCAGGATCTCCATGACTGTGTTGAAAAACTTCTGCAACTTCCTCTCACCCAAGAAGCCATTCTCCATGAGCATCACGAAAATAGTGCGGACGAGCTTTTGGGTGAATCCTTAAAGCTCTTGGATGTGCCTACTGCAGCCAAAGATTCTCTACTTCATACAAAAGAATGCGCACGTGAACTTCAGTCGATCATGAGAAGAAAAAGAAGAAAAGGTGGTGAAGTAGAACTTACAGTGGGGGCTAAGAAGTTTCGAACTTCCAGGAAGGTTGTGAGAAAGGCCATCTTGAAAGCCTTGGAGAGTATGAATGGTATAGCTAAGAAAGGAAGCTCATTATCATCATCGTCTACTTGTGCTTTGGTTAGCTTATTAAGAGAAGTTGGAGGGGTGACTCTTTCCACATTTGAGTCTTTTTGAATTTTATCTCTGGATCAACACAAGCAAAACCAAACAGCTGGTTTTTGGTTTCCAAGCCAGTGCGCTCCAGAAGGGTGGCTCGTGGACAAACAGCAGAAGAAAATGAATTTTCAGTAGTTGATGATGCAATCCAGAGCTTTGTGCTGAACTTGACAAGCAAGAGGGACAACAGTAGTAATCTTCAAAACCAGTTGGAAAATTTGGAAACTCGAATCCGAGACCTTGAAGAAGGGCTTGAGTTTCTGTTCAGGCATTTGATTAAAACTAGAGTTGCCCTTCTTAACATCCTCAATCACTGGTATTAATTGGGACATCAAACTTTTGCAGTGTCATATCTCTTGGTTTGGTATATATATGTAAATATATACGCGAACGCAGCCGTCTAAAGATACTTTTCGAGTTTACTTGTTATGCTTCAGAAAAATACCTAATCTATTAGCCCGACTTCTCTTCCATTAACAAAACAGTGTCATTCTTCCTGTCACCAAAAAAAAAAAACAGTGCCTTTTTTCCCTGTAAAACATTATGGTCCCGTCTGGTACGAAATATTAAAAATGAGAGATAGGGATTAAGATTGGAAGTATAAAGCTATATTAAAAAAATGTTTAGTTTAAGTACTTGTATGATATTTGGGATTAGACAAACCCATACATATGGGATTGGAGAATACCATAAGGGGAGGTGGTATTTTCTAATTCTATCTATATGGGATTACCAAATCCCATGTGATAAGAAATCACTCACGTTAAATATCTTTTTAACATAGTTTTCAACTCTAATTCTAATTCTTATCTCTCATTTTCAATACTCCGTACCAAACGTAACCTGTATGTTTTCATACCAATAATTTCGAAGACATAAAGTCAGGCTCTAATAACTTGGTGAATTCTCGGATCCACTTCCACTTCACATCTTTTATAAGTATCAATATATTAACTGAAAACTTCCCATAACAACTCTGCTAGTTACTTAGGGATGAGATCCTAAATAGATTTCCAACCTCTTGACTTGGCAATGTTTCATAACTCCGTATGCACTTTAACCAAGAACACATCAAATTTTTTAACCATAAATTTTCTTACCCTCATGAGCCTCAGCCCAACTCATCTAAACTTCCATTTATTTATGGAAAAAAGAATAACTTCTCTCTTACAGGACAATCCACTACCATAACAAACACATGGAAGACACTGCTCTGTGTTCGTTTTTCCGACTCATGTCTCCTAGACCATTTGAGCAATTAATTTCACGCGTAAATGAAGAATATACTACTAAATTAATGAAAGAAAAATCTGCAACAGAAAAAATTAGACAGAGGCTACCATTCTTTTATATAAAAGTGTGTTTCATTAGCTAAAATTGAGCTGGGGACATTGCATAAACATCTCCTTTCACTATTCAAAGATGAGCCATTGCCAACATCTTAACATGAAGTTTTGTTCTACCCTTAATATATCTTGTTCTGGTCATGAAAATTCATAAACTGGAAGCTATTAAAATTATAATAGCTACATCTCTTGCAGACAGAAGCCCCCATCACGATGTTGTGAGTTTCTTAATATCAATGAATTGTGTTGAGATGGGGATGCAAGACAACTCAGAAAGATTCCACCCTTGACACATGACATATTTCAGGAACTCCATGTGATTCCAAAATTCAAATCCTTAGGGGATAACATGGAGTTTAAAGAACTAAAGCTATCAGCGTGTGGGTAATATGCAGCTCCATTTTTTAGAACAAGTCTGGTTGTCCACACGTTTTAACGGAAGAGTTATTGTATCCTTTTTTTTGTTGGGCATAGAAAATCATCAGTTCTTTATTTTCTATTTCCTTCTCCTAAGAGAACAATGTGTAGTAATGATTACTGTGAATTTAGTTTTTGACAGTGCAGGGCCACTTTATTTTCTTAGCGTGTGGACAATTGATCAGTGCTTGTTTCCCTAAACATATAGTCCCTTCAAGAGAGAAACTCATTCTGTCATACACCTAGATAACGTTAAATGGACGCGTATGCTTGTTCATACACCTAGATAACGTTTAGATTGACACGTATGCTTGTTAAGGTTTGCTACAAATGTCCATCTTCCATTTGGTTAGCGTATTTATGCTACCTTAAATCTTACATTTGCTCATTACGCGTATCTGCACGTGTATAAGACTAGTCACATTTAATGAATGTACTATCTGTTTGGAAGATAAAAAAAGAAACTTTTGATATGCATATAACAACACAAGGAAGACTCTGAGTTGGGGTGTCATAATACAGGAGACAAGTGCATTGACATATCTGAGCGAAGTTTGGATCTGAATCTCAATCGGTTAGGACTCGTTGATATGTGCTAACATGAAATTCTTCTTGTCCCCTGTACCCAAAATATAAATTGCACCAACTCAAAGCAATGAAAGTAGATCTGTATATTCAATCTTACCTTCAATCTCGAGGTCTTTCTCTTCTTTTTCTTTCCTCTTGAGGAAAAATGGCTGCCTCTGATAACCATTGTCGATCAAACAGCTTGCCCTCTAAACCGCACCCCCTTATTCTGCAATGCAACGAACACTTGTGCAGATTAGAGGCTTCTACTCCTACATCTTTATCATCTTCTTCCTCTTCATCGTCCTCATTTAGCCATAAACTAAGTGGCCTTCAGGATTTGCATGAAGCTGTTGAAAAGTTAGTTCAACTTTCCATTACTCGAGAAGTACTTGTCCAAGAGAGTCAAGAAAATTGGGTTGAAAAGCTCTTGGATGGATCTCTTAGGCTCCTTGACGCGTGCACTGCAGCCAAAGATTCATTGTTGCATACAAAGGAGTGTGCGAGGGAACTTCAATCAATCATGAGAAGAAAAAGAGGAGGTGAAATGGAGATCACTGTAGAGGTCAGAAAATACTTGACCTCTAGGAAGGTAGTCAAAAAGGCAATCTCCAAAGCCTTGGGAAATCTGAAGAGTGCTTCAAATAAGTGCAAGCTTTCTCCTTCGCACAAGGGTCAACAAACTCCAGAATTGGCGAGCCTATTTAAAGATGTGGAAATAATTACTCTTCAGATTTTGGAGTCAATGTTGAGTTTTATCTCTGCATCAACACAGTCAAAGCCAAGCAACTGGTCTTTGGTTTCCAAGCTAATGCACAACAAAAGGATTTCTTGTACACAAGAAGCATATGAGAATGAATTTGCCAAAGTAGATTCTGCATTACAAGCCTTTGTGTTCCACACAACAAGAAAGTCAGAGAATATTGATAATTTGCAGAATCTGTTGGAAGAATTGGAGTTGGTGATTCAAGACTTTGTGGAAGGACTTGAAAAACTTTTCAAGAGATTTATCAAAACTAGAGTTGCCCTCCTTAACATTCTCAATCACTAGTTGTGCAAATTGGTCACAAAGTTTTGTAATTTTGACCAAAATCAGCTTTTTACATGCACTTGTACATACAAAAACATTGAAGTTATTGTTATCTTTTTACATAAATTAAATACTCTTGCTCAACATTTGGCTGTTATCTAGTTTTCTATTCTCTGAATATTTGTTGTCGATTGCCCCTCTGTCTCTCTGAACATTTACCTTTGTGCTAAGTCATTAAGTTTGTCAATTTGATGATATTTGTTTCAAAACTAACCTCATATCCTACAACGCAGGATTTTACTTTGAAACTGACATACCGTTTATCCAAGCTCAGTGAAATAGAATTTTCAAGAAACCATCTCAAATTATTATGTGCTCAAAACTTAATTCATTGATTCCCTGCTAATAGAAGATAGTAAAGATCTGGAGTTCTTGGCATACAAGTTTCTTGGCATGTGACATATGAATCTTGCATGGGATCTATGCCCAAACTTACCTCAAATCAAATACAGTACAAAGAAAATAAATTAAAAAAATGAATAAATGATATATAAATTAATAAAAATTTACCAAGGGAGACTTTATCTAAGATGAAAAATTAGGACCTATGTACCTCGTGAAAATTTCACTACCTACGTAGCTGAAAAAGGTTTTCTTCCCCCCCCCCCCCAAAAAAAAATTGCAGTGCATCTTAATTTTGATTTTATTTTTTACCAAAAAGGGAAATTGTGGCAAAAAAAAGGGGCCTATGATTGTATGCTTTTAGGTTATAGCTATGAGGTTCTAGGTAAGTTAAATGATCTCTATTCTTGATCCAGATCACAAATACTGTCAGACTTATCTCATTAACATGAACACTATAGCTAAGAATTTCGTTTTTTTTATTCACACTTGCAATAGTCTTATCTGTATTCTATTTATATTGCAAATGCAAGTGTGACGTTTCATGTCTTTCTCTATATAATGTACAAATTAAATTGCCCGTTGCAGATTAAAAATTCATATGACTTCATATGATGATCTGCTCCACGTGTTGCCAAATAATCTTTAGCATTATTGTTAAGCGTGTTTGCAAAACTCTGTGAAGTTGATCCGTTATTACATAGAGACTACTAGTTAGTTGCTCATTGACTAATGAACAAAGGCAACAAACTTCACGCTGTTCAACGCAATTATACCATATAATAATTGAGCCACTTACCTGTGCATGTGTTGGCCACAAACGTTTATGTGGATGCTTTGATTCCATTTGATTTGAATTGAATGATTGAATTCTACGTGTTTCTGGTAGAAATAAATCCATGTTTATAATGTAAAACATAGTATATTTACAGTTTGACCATGAAAATTAACATGTGGTTATTTTGTTTTTCATATGGAGAACTAAGATTCGCAAGGTTGGAAAGAAGAAAGATGATCAAAAAGTAATAACGTGATTCCAAGATAAGATATACCTAGTAAAAGAACAGTATCATTAATCACATTCATGTACAAGTATGGGACACTCATGAGGGAAAAATTGAATTTGAGTGTCCAAGGTTATCCTGAATAATTTGTGTAACTAGTTGTTGAAGATGTTGAGAAGGGAAACTCGATTTCTGATAAGTCTCCTTGAAAGGCATTCAAGTCCTATTTCTAGATCTTGAATGCACATCTCCAAATTTTCCAAATCGCCTTGCAAATTGTCTGGAGATGCATGCTTTTGACTGATGAGAGACTTCAAAGCTGAATCTACCTTCTCAAACTCATTTGTGACTATTTCCTCAGAGTCACAAGCTACTCTTTTTGGCTTCATTAGCTTGGAAATTGCAGACCACCTGCTTTGTTTTGATTGTCCCTTTGGATCAGAGATGGAGGACAAGAGAGATTCTAATGTGCCCACGGTGACTGCTTCTGCTTCTCTCAACATGCTAAGAATGTCATTTTCTTTGGCTTCAGAAGAAACTGTGAAGCCATTTCTTATTCCTTTGATATTTCCTAAGGCATTTCTAATTGCCTTCTTCACATTCTTCCGGGAAGCCAAATAATTTCCAGCCCCAACTGTGAATGCAGCTTCAGCTCCTCTTCTTCTAATGGCTGAATGGATTTCGTACACGGATTCTTTTGACTGCACAAGACAATCTTTAGCAGTACCACAGATATCCAAGAGCCTTAGAGACCCATCCAGTAGTTTATCAACACACTTTTGGCTGCAATCTTGTGCTACGACCTGTTGGGTGGTTGACAATTGAAGTAACTTGTCAGAAGAGTCCTGTAAATCCTGCAAGCCACTGAGTTTGTGGCTTAAAGAGGATGAAGAGGCAGATTCAGGAGACTTCAGTCTGTTCAGGTGCTCCTCGAATTCTGATACATGGGGATGAGGTGCGGTGGGAAAGCTATTAGAGCGCAGATGAAGAGAGAACTTTGGGTTTGATTCAATGGCTGCCATTTTCTTTTCTTAGAGAATAGAAGGCTTTGAAATGAGAAATGCTATTTCTTCTAAACTTGTGAGTCTCAGCGGTGTGCATCTTCTTCTTATATAGCCAAAGAATAGAAGGGGACAAGAAGATTATTTTTTCTTTCCACATGTGGGCATGAAATAATATCATATTAACATGATTCTCTGTGCTTCCATTGCATTGTTTGTTCAGTGCTTCCCTGACTGCAAACTTTACAACTCATTCATCAGTTTTTGGGTTAGGAATCAGAAAAATCCATGTGCTTCAGATTCAAGTTCCTTGGCAATGTCTCCCCCGTCTCAACTAAAACTGTGTGTTCTAACAAGGCTTACCATTGGCATGAGCATCATATATGGATCTTTTGTCTGCGGGAGGGGTTGTTTCTATCATTAAATAATGTTTATTCAAAGAATTTGGATGCGTAGCAGTGCCAACAACTATGGTTTAATAAAGAAGGAATCTCTCCGCAATTCAGTGTCCTTTAATTAAAATAGATCGTCATAAACAGGAAGCTGGCACAGATGTATTTGCAGTGCTGGGATGGAACATTATCACATAAGAAAATGATAACGAAATAAAAAAAAAATTATCATAAAAGAGTTTATATTACTGAAAATGGACAAGTTCCAGTATATTATGTTGCCAGTGAGAAGAGAGACAAATTATCATAGTCCAACATGACTGGCCATGTTCATTTGATGGGTTTATCAAAGGGAAAAAAACGAGTGGGGGCTGAGGATGGAGGAAAAAAACAGAAGCACTATAAAGAGCAATGGAGACATCAAACTTCATGTGACAGATGCCATGAGATAGACGAGGGATTGCAAGAAGAAATCAATGCATACCCTTGATCTTCACACATTTTCATGTTTCTAACGGCATGCCAGAAAGCGCTGTAAGTGTAACTGCTTTTGTATTTTCTCCAGATTCTAAGATGCTTCAGCCTTTCAAGAACTATTTTTATTTCTCTGCTTTGCGTTCTAATAATCATCCTCCTGTTGATTTAAGGTTAAGTAATTTGTACTAGTGGAGAAAACTAGAGACTTTTCAGCACTGCTAAAATTTGGAATTTTTCCTTGTTCCCTGTAGCAATGTGAGTTAGTGAGTACATAATCTGGAAGGGAGCTTTAGTTAGGCAAAGTAATTCTTTTTCCCTGTGTCTGCTCCATCTTTTGTGAATTTCGTGACTCCTATTGTATTTCGTGGTCATGGGGAGTGACCTCAGTCTGAAAACTTAGGTGATGGATGAGCATTTGATGCTGACACTGTTACAAGTGGTACCAGAGAGCCATGCAAACCACAAAGAACAGTTCAGGAACAATTCTGAAACTTCAATTGCTGAAAGAGATAGATTGTGTGTTCAATGAGAAGTGAAGGAATTAAAGCAATTTATAAGGGAATGAGATGAAGCCAGGACATCAAAGTTGACTCAAATATCAATGCTGTGTATCTGAGTCATATAAAATCCTTCAGAAAGAGTTCGAGACAAAAATACTTGAAGAGAAGGGAGGAATTTATAACTATACAAAGCACACCTAGAAGATGAATTAGTAGATTCAAAGGTTTCAATTACAGAAGAAGATATCATGAGTTCAGAAACCACACACAAGCATAAATGTCAGGGAAAGAGGAGGCTCATTGCAACGAAAAGTCATTCAGAATGCCAAAAAGGTTATGATCACTAGATTAATAGATTGACCCTAAACGTCAGCAGCAACACGGGGACCCAATTACTGGAGATGAATGCATTTATGGAAAAAGGGACATGGGAGGAGCATCAAATTGGGTGGAAAATGAGGATACGATGCTAGAGTCCTCCATGCGTTTTGAGGATTCCACATTAGAGAAGACTATTCTACAATATTGTGTGGAGAAGCTGTTATCTGAGGATTGCACAAAAACTCCTGAGCTAATTATATTCCTATTGAAGCCAGTTAAGGGACCATTCTTGAAAAATGTACAGGTCCAGGGAGGTATTTGAAGGAGTATACTGCACGAAGTTTGTAGTCATATTGAGTAGTATGAGATACTCAATGGAGCCTTATCCCTAACCATTGAGGTAGCTAGGAGAAAAGGAAAAGCCATGCAAGCATTTACAAAGCCTTCTGAATCTAATTAGTAACTTCCATAAGTGTTATGGCTCCCACACCTCTGAAGGCTGATTGTAACCAGCAGAAGAGATTTGCAGCTTAAACAAGCATGATGAATAAACCAAGCTAGGCAAGTGGATATGATATCATGCTATGGGAAATGGAGTTACCTCCTGACCTGCACTGTTGTTCACTGGAGGTCGTTACTGTTTCTGATGTGCTTTCCAGTGGAAACTCAATGTTTTACAGTCAAAGGGTTTAACAAGTGAATGCAGACAAGTCCTTACTGTAGTATGTATGTATATACGGCATGAGCTTCTTCATTCTCAACTTAAAATGGATTATTGTTGGTTGATTTTTGTAGGATGCCAAGAACACAAACGTTGTGAATGTATTGATCTTCACAGGTATGCAGTGTGTGTGTGTGTGTGTATTGAGGAAAATTAATTCTTCCTTTCAATTTCGTCTTTTCTCTGATTTATCTGTTATAAATAGACAAACAAAAATACTGATATTGCAATTTCATTAGTACCAGTAGACAACAAGTGTGTTACATCTTCTTTTTTATGTGTCTAGTTTAGCACTAGGAAAACAGGCTGTAGGGCTGGCACTTTACAAACTGCGGGTTTAAACAAGCTAGCCTGTTTAGGCTTGCGTTTAAAAAAGTACTTATTTTATGAAGTTCAGCCCTTATATAGACGGCTCTGCCTGGCCTATGGCCTTTTGGCCTGTTTAACATTTTATTTATTTTTTATTATATTTTGATATTCATAAAAGTAAAACAATAAAGCTCATAAAAATTAAAACTTTCAATCATTAATTAGTAAAATAAAATGTTAAATTATTATCTAAATTTTCAAAGCTAAACCAAATCAAGTAGTTTTCCAAACATTATACATAGTACAAATAAACAATAAATAATAATAACATCGTCAACATGATTTTTATCATTATCTTCAATATCAATAATATTTGCTTGTGTTTTACTCATGCAAGCTCTTCTTCAATGAGAAAAATATTAAGGTTTTCTTCTTCAAATAAATTTAACCTTCAAGTTTTGTAGTCGAATTATTATTTTATTTTAATTTAAGATATATTAAGGTTGAAACTCATAAATTTCTAATTCAAGTTATAGAAACATAAGTTATATAAACATAAAAATACTCTCTTATCAAGCATTTCTATATATAATTTAAAAACATTGACACATAACATAAATCAAATAATTATCTAAAGTCTAAATTAACTCATTTTGTAAAGTTCAGTTAAACAAATCATTATTTAAAACCAAATAAATCAAATTATTTTATGAAATTCAATTTTAAGATGATAATAATAACTAAATATTTGCAATGTTATTAACACAATGTAATAAAATCAATTATATTAGTATCATATAAATAATTTTTTTTCAAAAAAATAAAAGGGCAAAAAATGGCTGGCATTTAATCCTATAGGGCCAACCTGTTTAGACCCTCCACCCATTAGGACTGGTTCCTTTAAGCACATTTTCAAAATTAAAGGCAAAACCACAGGCTTAGCCATCATAATTTCGGGCTTCACCGTTTCCTTAGCTCTAGTCTGGTCTGATCAACGAGTCTACAACTTGATTTTAACTGTTGCTGCAGCAAAATGAATTTATAACTATTTTTAATTAATTTTTTATAATAACTATTTAGTAAAATAATTCACTGAAAAATCCCATATCACAAAATTTATTGCTCAGAGGTACTTAAAAAACAAAGTCCTTACGTGTGTATAAAAATATCTTTCGCTTTGCACATGGTTAAAGATTGGTTGAACATAGCTAAAGAAGTGTTGCATATGTTGAAGATTTGTTGCAATTAGGCCACGTTTGGTACGCGGCATTGGGAGCGAGGGACAAGGACTGGATCAGGGAATGAGACAATTTATGGTGTTTGGTATGTGGCATTGAGCAAGGCCTGGGATTGCACAGTGCCACATGGGTGGGATTGGACAAGCCTGCGCTCCCCCCGTATTGCATTTTCAATCCTGGGATTAAATATTTTTAGGACAAAAACATCCTCATTTATAATAATTTTCAGACAAGTTTAACCTTCTCACTTTTGTCCTAGTTTATCTTCTCCTCTTATTGTTCTGAACTTGCCGCTCGCTTTCCCTCTCCTCGCTCTCTCACTTATTGAAAGGGGCATTATTGTGTTTTCATAACTTGGATATAATTTTAAAATAAAAATTAATCGAGCCAATCCCTTCAAATATTACCTTGTACCAAACGTAAGTCTATAGCATCATTCCCAATCACATTCCCAGTCCCATTCCCTGTCTTATTACCAACCCCAAACCCTCAAATTCATTGCTGCATACCAAACATAACCTTAGGGTTTTAAACAAATTTCAAGTGTTTGTGTCATAAATTTTGCAGGTTAAAACATACATTTAGTTCTTTAATTTTATATAAGATTTCAATTTGGTCCCTTTACTTTATGAAGTATGCACTTACTTTTTGTAATTAGAAACGGAGATGATAATTTTATTAGATATTGAATTCTTATCACAACACTGTGTGTCACATAGCTATGTATAATGGAGAACTTTTAGGTAACATATTGTTGAGCGTTATATGGTAAGAAGTTGCATCACCAGGTTGTAAGTGATTGGAGTTTTAAGTAGCCAGCTTAAAATTTTAGCTAGTTAATTGTTACTATAAGAATACCATTTTAAATTGGAGGCCACGTTAAATATTTAAACAAACTTAAAAGTCTCCATTAAAAATGAAAGCAAATTATAAGACTAAAATGAATTTTTTTAAAAATAAAAGAAGCAAAAGTGTATCTTTGGTCTTCTAAGTTCTAACTTTATATAAGGTTTTATATAAGGTTTTTAATTTAAAAAGAAAACGATGGCTGCTAATTATTGTC